CGGGATCGGGCAGTGTTTCGTTCTGCTGTGCATGGGGTCGCTATGAGTTGGAAACGACTCGACGGCACTTAACAACAACAACAACAACACATGAATCTTAGGCTTTCTTCATTTTATATTGATCTTTTTTCTGATTTATCCCTTTCCAAAGAAGTGTTCAGGTATTTGCCTTAAATCTCCCTAATTCTGTCTTCCATTGATTCAATTCTGCTCCTTTCCCCATTCAATGTCTTATCTATTTCTGAAAATTTAGTATTAATCTTATGGATTTCTATGTGTAGATTTTGTATCATTTCTAATTTTTCATTTATTTTGTCATTTTGTTCTTATATTGTCTTTTGAAAATGTTCTAGGGTTTTCTCTGTGTTTTCCTTGATGTGTCTCTCAATTCATTGAAGATACCTAAATATAATTCTTTTGAATTCCTTATCAGGGATTTCCAATGCTGCGTCTTCCTCAGGGATGTGTTTTGAGTCTGTATCCTGGTCCCCTGGTTCTCCTGCTTTATCTCACTTGTTTGTGTGGACTGTGATGCTCTGTTGTCTCTGAGGTATGGTGACATTTTTGTGTTTATGTTTAATTGGTGATTGTATGTTGGAGTGACTTGCCCATGACTTTTGTTTCTTTGTTCTGTTTGTATGTTACCTACGCATGCAGGGGACAGTGCTTCTCTATTTGCTAGTTGACGGCACTTTTAAACTCACCACCTGGCTCCTTTCCTGTTGTCAGCCTCTGGTATGTCCCTGCCGACCTGGGCAAACAGAATCTATTCTTAGGTCCCTGGAATCCGAATGAGAATGCTGTCACTTTAAAATCCAAAGTGGTTGCCACTTGTAAAGATTCAAAATGCTGCATCCTTGGTCACTTAAATATCCAAAATGGCTGCCATGTGTAAACAATGAAAATGGCTGTGCCCTCCGGACAGCAGAAAGTCAACAGCTCAGGTTGCCTCCCTCCTTGCTGTTTCCATTCCTAGTCGTAGGCCACCAGCACGGTTGTCCCTGCAGCCTGGTGACCAGGGTTGATCTTTAGGTCAATTCTCAGGTCCCAGCACCACTTGGAAATATTCTGGCTGTTGGTTCCATCAGACCAGCTGACAGTCCACAGCTTCCAACCATCTCTGTACTCACTGTTTTTGTTCAGGTTTTTCCACTAATTAGTGCCTAATCCACTTCTGCATAGTTCCTTTCAAAGCTCAGGGCTCCAGGATTATCTTCTGTATTGCTGTCAATTGGTTTTTCTTTTCTTTCTTGAAGAGGGTCTGTGTTGCTTGTCTGCCTATTCCTCCATCCCAGTAGGAAGTATTCTTGTTTTCACATTTGCCTCAGCACCTACAATGAAATTATGATAGATGGGGAGACAGGAATTTGTAGGAACGATTACAGCTCCTACCCCTGTGTATTTCTGCCTCCTCTTTGTGCTTTGATTTTCTGTCAGTACTGGCCACAGATGTTATAACATATCAGCCAGACAAAAGGAAAATGTTAATGAGAGGGGGTTTAAAAGTAAAGCAAAAAGAATTGAGCAAAGCTGCAGAATAGCAGTGTTGGAATGATTCATACAAACAAAGTAGAAGGTATTTTACGAAGTACCTCTTTTCTTGAATTTATTTTAGATTAAACCCAAGGGTTGTAACATTGAAAAGGTTAGTAGGTGAAATACACTTTTTTTTTTTCCCTCTTGGGGGTTCTTTAAGAAGGAACAAACAATTCTTGCAAACCAGATCATTTAACTTCTGGGTCCTTCTCCAGGCTGAGGATTCTATGAGGTTCTGTAGTGCTTCTGTTCAGGTTCTCCTGAGGCAGCAGAATTTCTTATTCTTTCCTGCCAAATGTGATCTGTTTTTCTCTAGTTAGAAGTACTGGCCTTCGCAGGGGACATTAAGCTCAATTGGCATAACATACTACACAAAACATTGTCCCACCTCCTACTTTTGGTGAGTAGTGACTGGGATCTTAAAAGCTTACAAGCAGCCATCTAGATGTAGCAATGGATCTCTCCTCTTCCAGAGCAAAGAAGAATGAAGAAAACCAAAGATTCATGGAAACAATTAGTCCTAGTGACTGGTACACCATCTGATCCGCAGCCTATACAAATATGAGACCAGAACTAGATGGTGCCCAGCTACCACTGTCAACCACTTGGAGGGGATCTATGTAGGAGATCCTGGATAGAGAGGGAGAACAATGTGAAGCAAAACTCAGAATCATTTGGGGGGAGTTTGAGACCAGGTTTGCTGGTCTAATAGATCCTGGTGGAACCACTGAGACTATGGCCCCTAGCTGCCCTTCAGGTCTGGAATTGAACCTACACTTATGGCTTCCAGCCAAACAAAAGACAGCCATGTGAGTTGAACATTTACCTGAAGTAGATACACTCTTTGGAGAGAACAATCATGGGAGAAAGAAGGGCTGTTTATGGACAGGGAGACAGCCCAGGGGGCAGGAGTGCATGGAGGGATGGACACAGGGAAAAGATAACTATCAGGAGGAAGTGGGAGGGGAGCTGTTGCATTGGGATAAATTATAGTCAGTGTCATGAGACAAAGTGTATGTGAGCTGCTGTATGGAAAGTGAATTTTCTCTATAAATTTTCACCCAAATCATAATTAAAAAAAAAGAAGTAGTACTGACCTTGCTGCTCTTAGAATGAGAAAACGTTTTCCTCTCCGTGAGAACTGGAGACACTTCTCCACTCTGCTCCTCCGAGTGGTAGCTAGATCCTGATTATGACCCACTCTTGTAGCTCTTTGGTAGGAATCTGCAGGGTATTTCTTTCTTGCAGATAATTAATCTTTCTATTAATTCTTTTTTATAGCAAGGAAGATGTTCGAGCTACTGAAAAAGATAAGGTTGGTCTGTTATTTTTTTTTTCTTCCTATGGCTTTAGAAACCTCAGTTGTTTTATCATCCTATTGAATTTTAAAGATCCATAGGAATGTGGAGTACAAAGAAGTTTAATGTGTTTTCCTGCTGTGAAGTGTGGAATTCACCTCCCTGTAGAATTTTTGTTCACTCTGCCAAAACTTACCAGAGAGACTAATATGTACTTTGTCTTTGAAGCCAGGTTATTTATTCATTGCTGTTCCCTCACGTTTACTCAGGAGCTTTTCAGAGCCAACTATCGTCCCCTTTGTCTGAGACAGAGTTCTGATCAGGTTACTGAATTGGAAATACTCCGTTTATGTGATCATGCTATATAGGAGCAGTAAAAGTAAAGTTGACTTGAGTGATGATGACCTTCATCCTTTGGAATTAGAAAACAGACTGGCTCCACCCAGAGGGATTAGTCACATGCACACTTGAACAAGAGCTTTCACCTAATACTTCTGTTTTTTCTCTACAGGTTGAAATTTATAAAAGTTTCCGCCCAGGTGACATTGTCTTGGCTAAAGTCGTATCCTTTATTCTCAGCAGACTTCTAGTCCTTTGTCAAAGTAA